TTATTTTTGTTACATATCACGTTACTTGAATTTATGATATTTTATTTTTTTTACATATTATGTGACTTAAATTTATAATTTTTTATTTTTATAAAAAAGATATAATTATTGAATTATTGAGGTGATTAGTATTATTTTGTTTTAACTTGTAATGCAGACAATGAAAGACAATCGTTCAAACCTGCGAGTCGAAGCTAAACCCTTTATCACGCACAGAGGGGCATTTATCATTTATGTTCTTTCATAAATGATAACCCAATATGCTAGACATACACTAAAGCCCTTTTTTGTAATTTTATTCGAGGCGGCGGCCTAAACATCTCTTGGACTTTTTGACTTTTTTTTTGGTAATAAACATCTCTTGGCCTTTGATGATTGGATTTGGATCTCTTTGTTTCTGTGTTAAACCCTTTCTCTTTGCAACTGCTGGGGGTTTAGTCTTTAGTTTTAAGTCCATAATAATCTCAGATACTATGGCGGTGAGAGCTGCGGCGGTGGCTCCTCGCGCCTTGAGGCGCCTCTTCTCCACGACTTCGACTTACCCTATGTTTTCTCCACCTGCAGGAGCCGCCGCCGAAGCAGCTCAAGAGAAAGCCGAGCCTAACGCCAATCTCTTCGTTTCCGGTGCATAACATTTCTTCTTGTTTAATCTCTTTCTTCGTTTATAGCTTTCGATCTATATATATATTTTTAGTATTTTTTACACATGTTTATTTTTTGAGTTTCCATGGTTGTTTGCTTGTGATAAATTTGAAGAAATGGAATTAAAAGTGTAAAAAAGGCAATCTTAATCTTTAGGAACCTGATATTGAATTATTCAAGTGAAAAAAATCGGTGCTCAATTACTAACATGAATTTGTTTTGGAAATGAAAAATTTTGTTGGAATTGACTTGTACCATTCCAGTTGTAAATCTTGTGATATGTTATACCTTGACATGGTTTTTTTGTTTGTTCATCGAAGGTTTTGCGGATTGTAAAGTATTAGTAAACGCTCACACACGTACCCTTCTACATCTCATATTTATTTGTTTGATCAGCCTTGTTATATGGGTAATGCAATGACCAATGAAGGAATGCTTGTCTCTATGTGGGTCTTTTTGGTAGTATATTATGTGTAAATGGATGGTATTAGGGCCGTCATACTTATATTTGCAAATATTGGCTATACTTTCAGTTGTATGTTGAGAAATTTTGTGAAGCTACCATAATGCAGGGTGCAGACAAGTATAAGTCTCCTCTCCTCTCTTAGTGTTTAAACTTTTATACAAGAGCTAAATTATTTTTGTCTCTTTTTTTTTTTTTTTTGTTATTATATGAGCTAGCCAACCCCAACCATTTAAGATCAAGTTGTTTTGATTTATGCATGTTTCAAGGAGAGTATAGGGCACATATTGTTGAATTTGCTGTATTGAGTATACTTTCAAGATAACATGGTCATTCTTAAGACAGTTTGGTTTTACCCAACTCTGGCATGGTTTTGGTTTCCTGATTTCTGGTTTACCTTATGCATGTTTGTTAAGGTTTTCTTGTCAGTGTCAATCTAGATTCAATTTCATTGGTGTTGCTTCCAATTCCTCAATAAGTTTTGTTCCTTAAAAGTGCTGATTGCCTTCCAGTATAATATATATTATTTTGCACATTGTGATTTATCAATCGTGTTAAATTGTTATTTGCTGACTAATACTTGGTTTACCTTTCTAAAAAGTGTTTGGCGTCATTTGACATTGTTTTCAGGGCTAAATAAACGCAGTACTACTACTGAGAAACTTCGGGAAGCCTTTTCCAAATTTGGAGATGTAGTTGATGGTTTGTTCACCTCTCCTAGATTTTTTCGTTTTTGAATATTGTCCTTTTTGTAGTTGTTAACCCATCGTCCCTTTTTTTTATTGTTAATAGCTAAAGTAGTGACTGATCGAGTATCAGGATATTCCAAGGGATTTGGTTTTGTAAGATATGCTACCTTAGAAGATGCTGCAAAAGGAATAGAGGGAATGGATGGAAAGGTAAGTGTTGATTCTGTGCTATTCAGTATTATTTTTTCACTACAGTTACTGTACATTCATCCACATTCACGTGTCTAAGATGTTTTAATCAGTTGGCCTGTCAAGTGTTATTAGGGTCATAATGACAATGGTGATGTTAATATCTGCTTGGTTATACCTGGTTTTCTTAAAGCTTGAATTAACCTGTAGATTTAAAATAAACCCAATACTTGGCATTACTCTGGAGGTCTAAAAACTTTTCTGTGAGTTGCAAAGTTGGAATTTCTACATTTTAATACTATTCCTTTCCAAATTAAGCCCAAACAGTGCTTTCTGATTCAATGCACCCTCGCTGCTTTAATTTTGCTTCCTCAATAGGCGCATCCTCCCTTCTGCTGTAATCGCTTTTGTCATATTTTTAATTCATTATATATTTACTCTGCCATTGGTTCTTTTAAGTATTTTACTTCTCATGTATACATTAATGAGTCATGTTACTATTTCTTTGAAATCTTCTCGTTTGAATCAGAGGTAGCATTAGTGTCTTTTAGTGTTCTCTCTGTTTTTGCAGAGGCATGAGCATACCCTTAACTTATTTCCTTTGTATATTTAATATTTGTAGTTTCTTGATGGTTGGGTTATATTTGCTGAATATGCAAGACCAAGGACACCACGTACTCCAGAGAGCAACATGGCCCCACCAAATGGCCCTCCCTCATATTGCCGTCAATGACCTAAGGTCCTTGGGCATTTGTCTAGTTTGCATTACATTGACTGTTCTCATTCGTGATAATTTGAAACTATATATTTATGATCACTGAAGTGATAACATACAACTAGAATGACTGGTTTTTGAATTGTTTTGATCTTTCTATTCAGAACCATACCAATGATGTTGTATCAAACTTTGTGCCAATGAATACTCTTAGAGAAATGTTTGTGATGATACTCATGCATTGCGAAGTGACGGATAATGCAGCTTTGTGGGATAAAACATGGCTAAACCTTTCTGATGGGATTTTACACCAATGGCGACACATCCTGCGGTTACCTGAGTTACAGCTAACTGAGGAACAACTAAAGAATTATACACTTTTTGAAATTGAGAGATTGCTTATAGAAAATAATGGCTCCAGTTTGCAAGAACATGGTCTCCATCAACCAGATACGACATTAATTCAGAACAAAACAAATGCTCTTATTTTTGAAGAGTTAAATTTTAATAGAGCTGATGCAGAACAAGAGTTCAATCAGTAATTCTCTACATTGAATGAAGATAAACTAGCGGCATTTCATCATATAATGCAGTCAGTAAATGACAAAGAAGGCAGGTTATTTTTCATTAATGGACCAGGTGAAACTAGTAAAACTCACTTATATAAGATTATTTTGTATGGAGTCAAAACTAGAAATGGATTGCCACTGCCAACTGCATCTTCTGGTATTGCAGTATTATTACTTTCAAGAGGTCAAACAGTACATTCTAGATTCAATATTCCACGAGAAATATTTAAGGATAACCTATGTGGTGTAAATGAAACATAGTTGAATCAGTGTTGCAAAAGTCTCCGCTTAGGCTCGCCTGGGCGGCGCTTATGCGCTAGCGACCCTATGCTACTTGTCTTGGCCTGGGCGGCAAGGCAATATTACTATGCCCTTATTTTTTGGGTTTTTTTTTTTTTTTTTAAATTAAACCACATTATTTTATTTCCAATTTTTTTAGTAAATAAAGAACAAACAAAACAACATTAGTTGATTCTCAAAAATTAACAAAAAGTAAAAAACCTAAATACCAATTAATCAAGATTTTTTACAACTTCAATTCTTGTTCTCCTTCACTTTAATTAAATGATTTTAGTTATGTTGATTCTAAATTTTTATTAAGTTTTGTTGATTAATCAATTTTTAAACTTTTAAATAATTTTTTTTATTCTTCCCAAATTTTCAAAATTTTTAAAATTTTTTCAAAGAAAAAGGGTGACGCACAAATTGCCAAGGCAAAATCTAGACGTCGCCTAGACTCCAGATGGAGACATGCCACCAAGAGACGCCCAGCACTTCCAGCAACACTGACGTCGATGATAGCTTATTTATGATTTAGGCATAATTGTGATAACTCAAGGTGAGAAGCTCTCTCGGGTTTTGTTGAAAGGAAAATGGAATGAACTGAAACTTAGTTTGACAGTACGTATTAACTTGTACCTATAATTATAAGTTTTTTAGTTATTAAATATTTTTAAAATATATAAAATATATTTAATATATTTAATATTTATTTTAATTAATATTTTATATACTTTTAAAATAATAAAAAAAATAAAAAATTAAGAGATTAAAAGGTGTTCTCATACAAAACCTTGATTCATCAACCTTTCTCAGTTTGGATATGTTAGTCAGAACAAACTTTCCTCAACGAAAATGGTATCTAACTATTCAACTTAATTATGCCTTTCTAATCACTGTCAACTTGTTTCAGCATCATCCAGAATTTTCAATGGCATTATCTCACACGACAACACAGAAGTCTAAATGTGAATGAATCTAGAGCCTGCATTACAGCACATTCATTGCAAAGACAACATGTGGCTTGAAAACCAACTCCCTCCACACCGTTTTCTCAATAATCCAACGAAAGGAACACTCGCCATTCTTCTGAAGCAAACTCCGACAAGGACTGGACGATGGATATTTAACGTAGAGTCTCTCTCTGTATTATGACAAACAGGAAGAATTGGTTGTGGAGGAATTGGAACATGACAAAAAGTAATTACGACCTCGTTTCTGAGCAGCTAAGTGCAGTTATTTTCTGTGAAATAAATACATCTTCTCCGTCTGGATCATTCTTGATCAGTTGTTTTCTGTGTTTTGTTGGATCGATAGACGGTACTCTCCAGAAAGTGGTTTAAAGGGCATAATTTAAGCCTGGAAGTTCTGGAAGGAAAGAAGAGCAATTGTGGTGAAGATGAGACTGTACCATTCTATGGTAGCACCGTAGCACTGCAGCCTACACTAAACAATGTCTAGGCAAGGAAAATTT